AAGTGCAAAAATTACGCAGCCTGGTTATTTGAGTTTATTATTTTCATCGACTGATATCGAGATGCGAGCCGGGAGGAGGCGCCAAGTTTATTAAGATGTGTGGTCATTGAAAACAAACTATGGATATAATGGCATATAAAAACGTTTCACGCTGTAATAGTTAAGCAATTTATGAGATACACCAGGCAAGAGTAAGATATCCATAGATTATTTTGCATATGGATCAAACAGGACTTCTGACTTGAAAACTTCAGGATTAAAGTAAGTCGACAGACGAGGCGGGTGAGTTTTAAAAGCAGGCGAATAAGTTATAGTTAAAATTTGTTTTCAAGAAGCTATTTTTAGAAACATTGAACGAAAAGATATTCTAGTTAGACGCTTACCGCACCTACTTTAAAATATGGGCTCCATTATCTTTAATACTGGCTGGCTTGAATTTTGGGCAACCCCGGCTTAGAATGTTAGAACTGGCCGTCATTTTGACTTCTTTAGTTACCTCAGTTCTACTTTAATTTCTACCTCAACTTAATCATTGATAAAAATAGTTCTCTAAATGAAAAGAGCGCTACATAAAAACATTGTCACATCCAGTGAAATTGTAAGGACTAATGTCATTTTGAAATACTGTGTTAAAGACGTTTAGGGACTTTTTCACTGGAGCGCACAATGGCACTGACGAAGGTTTGTATTGTGCACTATACCAGTGTACACTAGCGACGTGCAGTGAATGTCTAAGTCACCACTTGCTGTTTGGCAAAAGTTTGCAACAAACTGTTTTGTGATCTAGATGAGGGCCTGTTTACATGGAGTGGGGGACCCCGGTCTAGTGGGGTTGGTTTCTTTTGTTTTCACGCTCTGGCGGACACAAAACAAAAGAAACTTACCCCACTAGACCGGGGTCCCCCACTCCATGTAAACAGGGTCTAAGGGAACATGCTGTCAACATAGCGTAGCGCGCGAATGACGTCATAGTGACTAACTTGCAATTTTTGTCCGAGTTTTGTCATTTTTCTCATTTTAATGACAAAAGAAAGAAAGTGAAGAATTCGCTAATGTTAATTTCAGTTTGTTTGTCTGAGTTTCGAGTCTATAAATAGTAACTGCGCGCAGCGCTATTGTTGAAGTCGCGCGGAACAACAATAAAAGCCTAAATAGGACATAGGAAGCCGTAATAATTAATTTAATGTCCAAATCACCAAGATTCGTTGTCTGTAGACATGTTATTTTCCTGTATATACAGCTTGGAAGGACGGTGGTTTTATCATCTAAATGTTGCTAGAATATAATGATTTGTTTCAGTCATCCGACTAAGTAACTTTTTACGAGTGACTTCGTTGATTTTCAAAGGTGTTTCGTCCTCCCTAGACTGTAATATGCATTGCCGTTCCGCAAACGTGAATTTTGTTTTCATGTTAATCAAAACATATACATTGCTTAATTTCCGCATAAGTAGAAAAAAAGAACTCCTTTTCGGCTCCTTTTTTAGTCTCGTGTTTTCTCAACCGTTTTGAGTTTTTCAACGTCATACAAAAAAAACACTTGAAACTTTTTTTTGCGGCAAACAGCACAATTTTGTTGAAAAAAAAAAAAAATTCCAGGGAGTATTAGCATCTCCCGCGTGTGTTTTGCCTGATTTTATCTGCAAGATATTTTCCCTATTTTAGTTTTACAAAAGATTCGTAAAAACAATGTTTTCCTTCTATTTGTCATTAAAAGAACACTACCTCTATGAATAAACAATTTTGCGGATGTTTTCCCTTATTCTGATCAATTACCGAAAACTCATAATAATTACAGGAAAATTGATTTTTACGTGTTTGCCTTTTGGTGTTTAAAAGCAACGAATCACCTTGACACAAACTAAAATTTAATGTAGCTCTGAAAGGTACGAAGTTAACGAGGTTAAATCCTTGTTCTTGCAGGAAAAGTATAGAATGGGTTCAAAACACGATCCAAGTAATTACACAATGAGCGAGCCAGAGGCCGAGACAACAGCAACAATTCCCTCTCATCGAGTCATTGGCGAACCTTTGCCGGAATGGTCCTCGGCAATTCGTTCGTGGGGATCTATATGGCTCGTTTATCAATACGGTTTCGGTGCGGCGTTTGGGATCCTTGCACTTTTGACTCTAATATTTCTCCTGAGGAGTCTGAAAATCAACAGAGCAGCAAGACCGAAGAAAGCAGCCCTTCATGTTCTTGTGCTGCTGTTTTTGTTTGGTCTATCTCGATCTTTATTCTTGAGCGTCGACGCTTACAGTACAAAAATGATATTTCCCCAAACGCTTTCAAACATTTTGTGGAGTCTGGGCAACCCTTGTATTGTCACCGCATACGTACTTGTTTTCTTAGTATTGAAGAATATATTCTTCATGAAAGAAAGATTTAAAAAATGGTACACCACAAGGAACATTGCTTTCGTCACAATCCCTTACTTCACCCTTGTTTTTGTCACCGAATTGGTGGTCCATTACATTCCAAATTTTGTCGGTTTGACTTTCACCTGTCAAATGGCATTTGTAGTTTTAAGTTTAATCGTGACAACATTTTATTCAATCATTGCTTTTATGCTTTGGAAAAACCTCAAAGGGAAACAAAGCTGCAAACGAAAAGAGAGAAGACATCAGCTTGCCTGGGTTGACAAAAACAAGGCACATGGTCAACGCACGCTGAGTTTGTTAAAACTTTGTCTCGCTACAGTTTTGGGAGGATTTTCTCTTAGCGCGCTTCAAATTTACTCCATGAGTGGTGTCTATGGGGTCTTTTCAAAAGCTAGTTACGTTGAAGCTTGGCCGTGGTTGATTTTCAACTATGCTATGAGAGCTCTGGAGTGGTACCTTGCATTTTTGCTATATTTGGCGACCACGAGAGGAAGTCGAAATACCGGAGGACAACGCGCGTCTTTTTCTATCACTTTGGACATCCATAACCTGAAACCAATCCCTGGCAGTCGAAAACCTAGCCGAAAACTTTCTTTGCTAAATGCACATCCAAGAACAGTTGCTCATGCTGATATATTTTAAGGATTAATTAGGGTTTAACTACTTTATTTTCAGTCAAACCCGTCGTATTGACAAAATTCTTTTTATTTGAAATACTTTGAAATTTGTTCAGTTTCGTGTTTTATCCTCTCTTGGAGTTGTTTAGTTATTCGTGGTCTTATCAGTCTAAAATCTGTAGGGTTATGATTCGCCGAATCATAACTAGGAAGGGTTAATAGATCACAAGAAAAAGCAAGATTAATTCTTCAGCTGTGGTTGGATCATTTGACGTTGTTATTTTTCAGGGAAAGCAGAAAGAAATGTATAGCAATACGTAGGCTGAAAACAGGCACGAACATAGCTGATCAGTCGCACAGTTTTTTGGGCGCTGTTCTCGAATATATCGTATATATAGAGCGAGAACATTATTTATTTAAATCAGGGTAGTCTATTCAGGAAAAAGAAAAACTGCTGTTAAAACATATTGTCTGAACATGATTAAATTAAGAACTAAAGCTATACTATATAGACAAGATTTTTAGGTTAATCTAAAGTTAAAGTTAGCCTGTTACATGCAATGAATATGGAAATAAAATCAGTAATATATCTGAAATGTGGAGCAAACTACAGCGACGTCGCAGAAAACTGAAGGACTGCAGTGAAAATGTTAATAAAAGTATGAACGGATTACGTTTGCGTTTATTTAATTATATAGCCTGCCTAATTTTTCAAATGTAGGCGAATCTTCCAGAAGTTGAATTCTAAGGACCGTATATGTATGTCAGAACTGAACGAGAAAGGAAAATTCGTCGACGCCGGTGCCAGTGTTCATACCCACCTAGTCCTGAAGTGACGGGAAGGACAATGTAGCAACAAAGTGTGTTAGCACGTGCAGAGTTTTTTGTTTTGCAAATAAAAAACCCATCGCTGTATTTTGACGCGGTGTTTCCCGGTTGCCGTCGGCTTCGGCGCCCATTAGAAACTAAAGGCTATTTCAGCAAGCAAGGTTTCCTCGCTCGAGTTAGTGAGGCTTCAACATTTTGTCTGGAGAAAGAGAGAAATTTTAAAAAACTCATGAAGGTCTCGAAAATGAAAAAACCATGTTACGTTTTTATCACGTACATCACAAGACAGACTAACAGAAGAGTGTAATATGAAGCAACCGCTCTTTTCATGTAACTTTATTTGCCACGCAGTGGCATGCTGTCATTGCACTAGCAAGTTCAGAGGTTTTCAGTGTTCTTGCATTTTACTAGCAGGTGTATGCGCACGTGAGAAACACCGAACTTTTCATGCTATTTTCAGGCATATCGATAGTTCATCTTACAAAACAACCGTTCACAATAAGAAAAACGGCAAGATGTTTCATTGTTTTGCACTTTATGTAAACAGCAAAACGTGAGATTGTTACAAACATTTGAAGTTTTAATTAATTACTGCTGTGCGACATCTTTGTAAATAATTGCTTTTTTGCCTTAAGGTAATATAATAATAGAAGCATAACATTCCGCGATAAGCTTTTAACCTTAAGTGTGAAAAAAGAGTTTTGCTCTGCATCAGACGCCGATATAAGGTGCATCCTTGTAGATCTATAGAATGGTGGGCCAAATAAAAATCAAGATTATTGCCCCAGAATTAGCTTACGGTCATAGGCCTGACAGTTAATAGAGTTAAACCCCAATATAATTACGACTATGTCTAGCATCACGGTTTTTTTTAGATAATTTGCGAGTTTTTGAGAAAAAAAACACGCTTTCGGATTTATCAACGTAAACAAGTGACAAAACTGCAGCCGAAATTCGCGCCAGCACTTAGCAGAGTCCAATTTGTTTTATAACTCGACTTAACTTTTAGAACAAATGAAGACTATTCCTTGATTAGGAAAAGTGATCCAAACAAGTTCCTTTTAATTTGTTTTCTTTAATGCAACCCGCCACTTTATAAACTAACAGAGAAAAAAGGAACATGAGACCGCAATCACCTGGGTCGCTATCGATTTTTGTATGCGCTTGAGCAGCACGTGGATCCAAAACGAAGATGGCGGCCGGAGGAGCAGAAGAACACTTTGCAAAGAAGTTGGCAAATAACGAGAAGAAAATCCGAGATAGAGCCGTAACCAAGCTTCGTGCTTGGATAAGAAGCCGACCAAAGGATGGGCCAGGTAAATTGGTGTACTCAAAAAAATTTGCTTACTTTAGGCCAAGGAGCAATGATTGATATCAAGAGAAGTTTTTTTAATACGTACGTGTAGGTTGTGTTGATTTGTTGTAACAATTTCATGCACTGCTTGTTTATTGCCTTTAAAGTTGCCTCTGGACTCGCTGCTTTTCTTGTTTTCAAGGTTTTGGTGAGCTAGATTTAATGAAAGTGTGGAAGGGGCTTTTTTACTGTATGTGGATGTCAGATAAACCTCTAATCCAGGTACTGAGGTGTTTACTGTTATCACAGGAATATGTATTGCAGTTTGACTTAGAAGTGATTCCTGGGAAGTGATTTTGTTCCGCACCGTTTCAGACCTTCCAACCCCTAAACCATGTAAATCTGGAGTGCTTGAAAAAAAGCTCCCAAAAGCTGGAGATTTCAAAAATGTGTCAAATAAAACCAAAAAGGCAGATTATTTTTGTCATGGTATTCTTTACCCTATCGGTGGTCTCCTTTGTACTTTCTTGTTGCTGGTTTGGCAGTGATGAGAAGATTCTGTTTTACTATCCAGGTCGATAGAATGGCCAGTTGTCAAGAGAGTATGTTATAAGGCTTTCCCACAGACCTTAGCGAACCTATGTAAGGTTGGAATTTGACTCAGGTCAGGCGTCCCCTCAAAATTAGATTGATACAATTATTTCATTGTGAGGGCGGTTTTTTTTTTAAAATTACACAGTTCTTACTGGAATTGTCTTGCAATTTTAAGATTTTTTGATTCACTGTGAGATTTGGAGGCTAAATAGTGAGACCATGAGTTGGCTGCCCAAACTATGAGTCTCAGGGTCAAACTGTGAGAGTTGGAAGGTTTCGGAGGTCTGCCGTTTTAGTGAACATTCTTACCTACCTGCAACCTTGTTCCCAAGATTCTTCCCTACGTGTACCTGTGGCTTGCTCCGTAGGGACGGTTAGGACAGAACCCTGGGAACGAGGTTACCTTGTGAAGTTCTTCAGGTGGGGTACATTGAAAGGGTAGGAAAATCTATCCTGTAAGTATTTGAAAGGGCCTTGATTAAAAAGTTTTGAAAAGATGCACTACATCATTTTAAATTTATATAGTAAACATTAAACAATAATGACAAGACTTCCTTTTAGCAACTTACCGTAGTTATTCGGTTATAAGGCGCACTCGGTTACAAGACGCACCCCAAACTTAGCAATTTAATCAAGCTAAGTTCTCAGACTGAAAATTACGTGAAAATACTCGGTTATAAGACGCACCAAAAAATGAGAGTTAACAGAAGGATGTGATGAATCTGAGACCAATTATCCTTACACGATTGGCATGTGAAGTCTTTTTGTTAACGTAAACAAAAGTGAAAAAGTCACACATTTAATGATATACGTAAAAACAAAAGCTAAAAGTTCACACCTGTAATGATAAACATACAACGCATACACATTTAGAGTTTACTGGGAGCAGAACAGTTCCAGTGTTGTCATGCGGCGCCGACAAGCAAAGTTTCACAGTTGCTCTGACAGTGAAAGCGAACGGCGAAAAACTCCCACTGAAAGTCATATTCAAAGGTGTTCGGCAGCTGAATATCAACACGTCACCAAGGATGCAAATTTCAGTGCACAAGAAAGGCTGGATGGACGAAGAAGGTATGTTTTATCTCCACACTGTTTATTCAGAGAAGGAAGGAGCGAGCGACAAACACGATTCTCGGAATTCGAAACTGTATTGTTGTCATTGATATCATGTTACTGAGCACGTGCTGTTAAGCACGTATGCAAATTTTCATTTGTTTGCTTTTCTCTTGAAGTCGTTTAGTATTCTAAAGGTCTCTAAAGGCAGTATTCTTTTTTTAATTCATAGGAATAAAGGAGTGGATTAGACGCAATCTTCGCTACACTACAGACCAAAAAGTTCTTCTCAAATTGTGATCTTAAGATTTTGTTACGTGAAAATACTTGGCTATAAGACGCACCCCAATTTTAGCACTAACTTGCCACCCAAAGACAGATTTTTCTTGAAAAAACCGTGCGCCTTATAACCGAATAACTACGGTATTCTTATAAAGTACAGTGCAATGCCATTAATATGGTCACCAATGGGCAAAAAACGTTTGGCTGTATTAACAGGGTGACCATATTAATGAGGGTACTTTTTACAAGAAAATGTATGGTCATTTAGCCAGGCAGCCAAAAAAAGTGGATGTAATAACAAGGTGACAGTATTACTGAGGCGGGGTTCCACTGTGGGTATGTTATTTGAAGGGTTACTATTTTTTAATTAAAGGTACCGGTATATGAAGGAGGCACATTTCTGTTGAAAATGGTATATAAAAGGGTTGTTGGGTAGCCCTCCTCGCCCTGGGAGAAGTTCCCACAAAAAATATGAAATTGTGCATTTAAAGCCATATTCTTTTAAAGAAGTGTATTGTTTAGATTACTATTTTCAGCCTATATGTATTCCTTTTATTGCAGGAGGAACTTGCTTTAAATATCTCTCAGCTTGTTATGAGCTTTAGGAATGAGCAGTCAGGTACTTGAAAAACAATCAATGTTCAAATTGTTATCCATTTTCGATGTAGTCTTAATAAACTTGCTTCAAACAAGCTTGCTAAATATAATGCCTTGTTTTGGAATTGTAATCTCGTTAAGTTAAACAGTTTTTCTAGTATGAATTAATGTTGAATAGAATACTTATGCATCAGAAAATTCACCTACGTTTGTTCATAATGTATGAGTTTTGCTGTTAAAAATATTGGTCTAATTTAAACATTCATAAGGGTTATTTGGAACAAATAATTAAAAATCACAACTTAATTTCTTTTGTTGATTTTTAGCAAAATTTATCATTTGTTTGATTATATTTCATTTTTTATCAGCTGTTTTGTTTATCAAAACATTTTTCAAAACAATGGAAAGGGAATGGCATGGAATAGACAGACTTAGACTGGACAAGTTTTATTTGGTACGTTTTTCTATATAATACGTTCAACTTATAATGGAAAGCTCTTTAAAATGGACACCTCTCTTTGGCTGTGGTCTTGAAGTTCTCAGATGCCTCTGACAATATTGGTGTAATATTTTGATTAGCCAACTTTAATATTATAAAGTAAATTATATTATGAGCCCAGTTGGTGCACTGTTAGTTGCTAAGATAACAATAATATTCCTTCCTAACACTTAGTTCTCTACTAAAAATCATGCTCTTGTTTGCAGCTGATTCGTTTCTTTGTGAAAGGAGCTTTTAATTTTCTCAAGAAAACTGAATGGGAAGACAGGTACCAACATGTTGTACGTTGTACGTTTTGCATAAACCAAATAAGGGAGTTCTTTCATATAAACAACTTTGTCTCATACTGTTTTGGTGATGTAGGTGGGCCACAGAAGTGAGCAGCATTTTTCATGAAGAGCCTTTGAATCCTACGAGTCAAGCGGTATGTGTATTTTAAGATTTCTATGTCCTTATTACAAGTGTGATCTTATTTAAATGTAATAAAAAAATTTTTAATATTATTATTATTATTATTATAATTATTACTACTACTTGATCTTCTAGGTTCCTGATGGCATAAGATTCCATACAGTGGCTGTGTACTTGGTTGAACTTAAGAGTGTTGTTAATGACCAGGTGAAAAAGTCTTTTGAATGCTTCATAAAAATGTTGACAGCTCTCATTACTTTAATTATAGGGACTTGTGCTCTGTAGAGAAAAGAACACAAGAAAACGTCTGATGCATGAACAACCCTAAATAACAAAAAAAGTGTAGAAATAATTTATGAAAATGTTCACTTAAATGCAGGATATCACACTCTGGAAAAGGACATAATATACTCGTCAAAATATTTTTGGCTTGATTTTGGATTCATGATACATCGTTGAAGTTTAAAATTGCTACTGCTACTCTTAACTTTCACTTTCTCTTTTTCCAGCTTCTTTTTGCTTTCCTCTCCATTCGTATCCTTTGCTAAGCATTCACTAGGCTTCATATTGGTGGGAAAGGTTTCTGCAAATACCCTGACTGTGAAATTATTTTGAAAGGAAGTATGGCTGGACAGTGGATCAAGATTTTCATTGTAATTTTCTGTTCAACATTACAATGGTTTTTTGCTTTTTTCTCTGGCTTGTTTGACTGTATTGTGCACATTCAGGTATTGTTGGAAAGATCACTTCCCCCTGCACAAGTTAATGAGTCATTACACATGATTCAAGGGATGAGGATCCCATTGGGTATAGTTTAGGTGTGAATCAATTAGTTAATGTTTTAGAATGCTTTTAAACATTAAAGCTTGCAGGATATAGAAATAACTTGTCTGTAAAATTGGAATTTTTAGCATAATGTTTTCTTGTTTTCAGGTCAGCTCTGATGTGTTACACAAGCTTTTAGATCCACTGTTTCTTCTTGCTGCACATTCAAAAAAGTAAAAAATTATGATCAGTAAAGTGGAGCTTCACTATTTTGTTCAGACATTTTTTAATCTAGCCAGTGAACACAGCCACCTCATGTGGCTCCCACCTGCTTTGGAAATTATTTTTATGAGAGAGACATTTGCATTTTGAACTTCAAAATGCCCATACTTATGACATAAATCTGCCAGAATATGGTTAGGAGCACTCATTACTTGAATTTAAAATGTTCTTGTATGCAAAGTAAAAAGTTTCAAGATTTCAGATGGCAGACAAAAGATAGGAAATCTTACAATGCTTCTTGTTTACTTAGGGAAACCTCTTATTTTCCAGCTGATAGGGTAATAGGGTATTGTCATCAAACTGCCCTGGAACAAATGTTTTTTTACATAGCAGTTATCAGTCAGTGAAACTAGGGCTTGCTTTTAGCTGAGCTCCTGTGTATGCCACAGCTGTCTAGTGAGAATAATTGTAGTCAATGTTGCTGGACAAATCTTCAGTTGGAAATGATAAAAGTATCAATGTAAAAGACATCCTACATCTCTCGCATAGTTATTTAATGATCTTTCTTCTTTCTGTAGTAAAACCGTCACCAATGCAGTCAAAAAAAGTTTGTTTGAGGAACTTTTTGGAAGTGGTACGGACGAAGCAGATAAGAATCAAGGAAATTTAAAGAACAAGGTTTGTAAAGGCTGCTATGTACTTCAGTATCTCTGTGTTCTCGCCAAGATTTTTGTATGGGGAGCTCCAGGGCCCCTTCTGCATGTACCCTTCACCAAGGAACCTGGAGGAACGTTCAGTGTAAGGGGATCAAAGAAATCTGTATATGACAATGATACACCAGGGCTCACAAAAAAACATGAATTCAAGCACATCCTTTGGGCAAGGTAACTTCTTGCTTGCCTTGGGCTGCATTTACACGGTACTGGTTGAATGTTCAACTGGTTGAAAAATTTGACCAGAGACTTTGTTCACAGGAAACCGTTCAATATTTTAGCACTGTTCACATGGAACTGTTGAACCATAGTATTTCCATGCAAAGGAAGTCATAACTCAACTCTTAAATCCATGTTCGCAATATCTTCTCTTTTTGCTGCTGATCAACCACATGTCCATGCAACCACACCTTTGCTGTACAAAAATTTGGCCGGTCATGGTGTTCACACCTTGACGTTCAAATGTTTGACTGTAGTGGTAAAAAAATTTGACTTTGATTTTTAATTAGTGTTCAAATTATTCAATGGCTAGACATTCAAATTTTCATACGGTTAACATGGTTCCATGTGAACGAAACACCTAACGATATGAATTTTTGACCAGTTGAAAATTTGACCAGTACCACGTGAACACAACCTTAGTTAATGATTTTAGTAGAGGATGACTTGACTGGACCCTTGCCCAAAAGTGATCAACATCAATTTTCTCCTCAAACTATCAATACATTATGTAAAGAAAAAGTTATGAGAATTACTAAAATGGTCACCTTAAGGAAAATGCTTTGATCTTTTAACAAATTCTCTCAACTAGTTTTTCAAGGAAACATATAAAGATCAGTATGGAGAATTTCTAAGTGGATATTGGGGCTTAAGGGGTTAAAAAGCAACTGGCCCAGCAAGAAAATGTGCTTGTCCCAGACTACAGAACGGGACTTTGTTCAAGCCCTGTACACAATACACTGTACTGTCATTGACAACCCAGAAAAATGCCAGATGCTTAGTTACATGTACTTTTCCCATCTCCCCACTCACTTTCAAAATAACTGACATCCCTGTTCCTGAATGTATCAGGATGGCTGACGACTTTTTAATTTTGAATGTATATTTTTTTATCTAGGTTGATTTTGCCTCAATCGCTGACAGATTATTTACCTTAGCAAGTGATAGGGAAATTCTTGGTCGAAATAGGAACCAACTTTATGACTGGGTTAAACGGTGAGTTGTAAAGTTTTTCAGTCTGTCAGGAACAAGTTATTCATTTTTTTGAAAGTAGGGACATACCTACAATTCACTACAGATATGTTTAACATAGTTACGTATGTAACTTGTTACTGGCACAAAATAGATGTGTCAAATTTGTCATACTCACTGTGATATTTTCTTCTTTCTGATTCTTTTTTTTTTCACTTGTTTTTACAGGCTAAGAAAGCAATCAAGAGGTAAGTTGATTGAATTTGATTTGTCTTTTGCAGTTTCTCTTTACAGACATTACTGCAAGGGATAAATGAATATACAGCGATGTCCAAGTTGTTTTTCCAGCCAGGATTTGCAGAAATTGCCAATGGGCTGTACAGAAACGTTTTTCAGGATCTTTCTTTCTTTTCCAAGGGCAGCCATATTAACTGTAGCTTATATTGTTTACCTAAGAAGTGAAGATGATTTATGTGTGCTTGGTTTTAACTGAAGAAATGTTTGTTTTTTTGTCTAGGAGAATGCAAGGATGGAGAGCTTTTGCAAGAAGGAGAAACCTTACATGGGAACACTGTGGGATCAAAGGGAAAGACTGCTTCATGTGAAACTTCAGAGATCACAAATATTGAGGATGGCATGAGAAGGAAAAATATCTCCAGGGAAGAAGAAACAAAGAGAAGAAAGAAGCATGTTGAAGGAGAGGTTGAACAGGAAAATGATGCAATCAGAAAAAACGTTGCTGAAGAAGAAAGGAAAAAGAAAAAGAGAAAGAGAAAAATTAAGGAACAAAATTTGAACAACATGTCTTCAAATCAACAAGCAGTTGTTGAAGAGGTTAAGGATGTTGAGCCCACAAAAAAGAAGAAGAAAAAGTCTCAAAACAATGAAGGAAATAAGGAAAAAAGACTGGGTGATGATAAGAGTAATGTTGAACAATTGGTCATTGTCAATGGACATGGCGATAAAAAAGGTGAACCACAAGAAAGTACGTCACTAGCAAATGACACTGCCACTATTAATGGTGATACAACATGCTCACCTGAAATTTCTGATCATCAGGAGTCAAATATTGTTGATAAAAAGGTTTTGAAAAAAGCAGCAAGTCCTAATGAAGAGCCATTTGCAAAGTTCGAGAAGAATTTCACTCCGCCAGCATTTTTTAGAAAGTCTCTCCGAAAAACACCAAGAACAGAGCCACAGAAAAGCAAGACAAGTCAAGAAAAGGTAGGTATATTGACAGAAAATAGCAGTTTTCATCATTTTATTGTGTCTGACAAGATGATGGGACGTTGGAATGTTGATACAACAAACTCCATTATAAAAAAACTAACATTTCACAAATAACAAAATATGTTTTTCTTTGTCCCATTTACTAATAATATAATGTGTGGAATGAGAGCCCAATATGTACCTTTCCCATCTTGTAAAAAGCGCACTGTTCTTGCTCCTGTGGGACTTTGTTATTATAAATTCTCCATGGGTGTGTCATTTCCCAGAAGTCAGGTTCTCAAAACCCTCCAAGGCATTTGTAGTAAAAACAAATCAAAGGGGAGTTGTAGTGTTCATGCCCTTTTAGCTGAGTTCAAGGATTCTGGTTATCTCAATGTCAAGCCAATAAAATAATAATATTCTGGAAGAATTTTAAAGCACAAGTGTGCAACAAAATAATGGAAATTTACATCTTTTATTTTCCAACCTCATCTTTG